AATAAAAATTTTGAAATAATATCCAGTGCTAATCAGAATATGAGGTCTCAAAAGGAATTAAAAGAATCTAGCCACAAGGGTAGTTTGTAAAAAAGTTAACCAGAGACAGAGACTACTTCTAGCGCTAAATATTGGTCTGTGAAGTGGGGAAAAGGCACAAACTAAGGGAAAACCAGCATCAATTAACCAGTATTGAGACTGCAATTCTTCAAAGCCACTGTGCAAGCTGGGCTTAAACTAACCACAGTTCCTTCAAAAATATATCTTGTGTGGGACTGAGCATCACTATACAGGGTGACACACAGGACACTCCTTCCAGCAGGCCTTCCACATAGGCCAGGAGGGTCCCAGGGGACACACGAACAACAGACCTTAACACTGCGTGCCTGCTCCTGAAGATTCTACAGCAGCACCACAGATCACACAGCATCAGGACTAAGCAGCTCTTTCCTCAAAAGTTTACACGTGGGTACAAACGCAAGGCAGTCATTTTGACAGACGAGCATCCCGCCGAGGAGGGAATGGCTCTTGTCACACGGATCTCCGCTACTGTGGTCTCATACCCTTTCCCAGGTCAGAAAAGAGCACGGAGTAAACAGTGGGAAAGCTGGAACCCTGACAAGCCGAGACCGGACTGGTATCAAAGCGGGAGCCCACCTCGCACTCGTCCTTTTCCCCACTCCTCGTGGCAGCCTCCGGGCTGCACCACAAGAGTTTACATTTATTGCAGGAAAATCCGAGCCGAGATTTCCTGCTTTCCATTCTGCTTTCGAGATTCCCGCCTCACGAGCGGCAGTGCTGCAACTCCCCTCCTTCCCTCGGCAGCCCGGGGGCAGCGTGAGAGGGAGCGGCCGCGGGGGCCGGCCCCGGGCTGAGCGGGGCTCCTCGGCCCTGCAGCCCCGGCACCGAACCGCGGGGCAGCCCGGCACTCACTTGTCATAGAACGGGTGCTCCTCGCCGAACTCCCGCAGGTGCTTCTTCTGCTTCTTGCTCAGGCTGCGCAGCAGCTCCCGCCCGGCTCGCCGCTTGCCCATGGCCGCCGCACGTGTGCGCCCGGCGCGCTGCGCTGTCGCACGGCGGGGCGGTGCCCGCAGCTCGGAGCCGCACCCCGGAGAGGCGGGGCCGGGGCGGCTGCAAGGAGAGGCGGACAGGGGTGAGCTCTGGAGCCGGGCCTCGCCCCGGTGTGCCGTTCCGGAAGAGTGGTTATTCCTGCGGACCGCGCTGGGGAACACAAAGCACTGGCAGGGAACGCTTGTCCCAGACTGTGTCCAAATTCAGCCCCGTCCCGAGGCTGCGGCCCGCGGCCCCGAGCTTGGTGCGGGCCGTGACGCGTTTCCGCTGCCGGAGCCGCGGCGGGGCCGGCGATGCTCGCGGGCTGACGGAGCGCAGGGAGACACTGCTGGAGCTACAGCAATTTCTCCAACTGCCCCGTGATCTGCAGCGCTTTGCTAAAAGCTACACATCTTCTCGGAAAACTTCTACAGTCAGGCTAGAGGAAGAGGCCCAACACAATCCTTAGTATTCAGGCTCCGTTATTCTAAAAGCAATCAAAACCTCCAAATGAAACCCCACTGAAATCTGGCTCTTCTAACATGTCACTGCTGAATCTTACTGAGCACTGCTTAAGCATGCTTTACTGCATATGGAGACAAACGGTTTTTCAAAAACAACCATAAATTGTGTCAAATAAAGTGAATTCATTTTCAGTTCTTTCCATTAAAAGCTCTTTATATCCTTTGTATCCCCGTGTTACTGTATGGCCTAGCTGAAACGCCTCTAATCTTTAGTAACGAGGGGTTGTTGTAATTTGTAAAGCAAACACAATACGTTTCAGTTTGTCTCTGTGAGTACAAGAACTAAGTGAGAGCAACATAATTCCAAAGAGGATGGAGACATGGAATATTCTGGGGAAAAAGAGTTTAGCATTTGGATTGCTTCTTGACTATCTTGACCTGAGGGCATCCATGGATTTGACTGAAGCACATTAACTGCACTTCAGTAACAGAAACTTTCAGGAGTTACTCCTGCGTGTTGTTAGTCCCATAGCCTGTCCCTTCAATAAACCCCTCTGGCTTGGAGGAAATTGTCTTAATCCAAACCATTCTACCACCAACCTGCTTTACTCAGTACCCTGCAGCACACAGACAGCAGCAGCAGTTGGCTGTGCCCAGCAGCAGAAATTCCCTTGGCAGGTTCTGTCAAAGCTAACATGTTATGTAACAACACTAAAATAAACGATTTCCAGCTAGCAGGTCTTTTGGTGAAGTTGGCAGTCATGCTCTGTAAGAGGAAAAATATTGCAAATCAATCCCACTTCTGTCAGGAATGTGAAAAAAGCAGTATATTTTTATGTTGCAAAATTGTTTCTTGTTGACTTACAATTCGGCATTGGGAGACAGGAGGAAGAGCAGGAGTGATAAGTGCTGAATCAAGAGAGCTCAGGAACTCTTTGGGGATTGCATTCTTGTGCCTTAAAAAGGGAAAATTATAGCCTGTAGCTTGGACTCCAGTGTTGTTTGTATACTCTTTCCAAAATTCTGGCTATGGTATTTCACACTACTTTGTGCAGTTTCAGTCTGCTTTTTATTATTGACTTATGAATTAAAAATGCATGGATCTCATTATTTTGGATGTTCTGAATGCCAGCACTTGCTTCTGTGGCCATTTATTCACACTTCTTTTCACCAGAATGGGGAAGTTTTTCTAGCAGCTTAGAATATTTGGTCCTGTAGCTTGAAGTCTATCCTTACCCCCTTTTCCTCTCTCCATCCTGACTTCAATTTAAGCATTGAAAGCAATGATATTCCTGGAATTGTTTCCCTCTTTCTGCTCAACTCCTTCCTCCCTCCTCCCCATTCCTTGTGTGAGAAGGATCCTGCTTGGACAGTATTTGGTGTTTAGGATTAAACTACTTAAAATGTTGTGGTGCCATTGATGTGTGTCTTTCTCAGGAAATGAACACCTCAGCTTCTCTGTTGTGAGGCATGGGCAGTAAAGCAGCACTGATGCTGATATCCCATAGACAGCAAACATGTAACCACTGTTATATGATAGTGTCTTTCTTAAATTAGATCTCTGCACTTGAAAATTTAAAATAAAATTTTTAAATGAACTTGTAAAATCAGCCTGGAGCTCCTAGTTGCTAACATGGTAACATATCACCAGCAATGTTCTTTTTACAGATTTCTTACATACCAGCATCTCTGATTCCAGCAGTAATACTGGAAAAAAAAAGGAAGAAGCTTGCACTATTTGAAATCTGTTCTGCTGACCCCATTCTGTCAGCAACCACAACTAAACCCCATCAGCAGAAGTCTGCTGCTGCTACCTGTGTATCTCCAGCACTTTTATCTGTATGATGTTCCAGAGACAGATGGTTTATAAAAGCCATTTCCATTCTTTTAGAGAACTCTACTAATATGAACAGAAGACATTTCTCCTTGTTGGCTTACTGCCTTCACTCTTTTGTCTACCAGCAACTCCCCTACATGCTTTTCTTTATACCTGCTTTTCCAGCTCAGTTTTGCCTTTTTCCTTGTGAGATTTTTTCATTTTCATGTATGTTTTAAATTGAAACAAACATGTTGATCACACTCTTTCTATCCAAATTCATGAATGGAGAGCTAAAATTTCAGATAATTTTGCCCTAAGTTTTTTAGGCAGTGTAAATTACACGATGGACTCTCAAATATAGCTTATGAAGTTGAATGCTTATTTATTTATATTATATGCACTTCTGTGGATATAATGAAAAGAAATATGTGTAAGCTACAAAACTGGCTTGTAGCAAAGAGAAAGGTAAGAAAGGAGTTCATGTCTTCCCTTTCTGTACATCACTCCTTTCATATTCAAACTGGAATTCTACCAAGGCAGGAATGTGATGCACATTACTGTGAAGCACACAGCTCTGCTGTGATTCACGGAACATCTCACATGGCATAGATTGCCTTTGTTTAATGGAATGAAATTGCTTGTGGCAACCACATTTCTCTCTCTCAGGATTTTTCATAAAGGTGGACAGAGAGAAAAAACAATTTCTATTTCTGCTCCTTGTTTGTCTCATGTGGAATGTGTTTAGAGAATTGTTTAGCTGGAGTGAGTACTTGATTGGATTCTGGTGAGGATTGTTCGAGCCTGATGGCCAATCCAACCCACCTGTGTCTGGACTCTCGCCAAAGAGTCACAAGTAGATAGAACAAGTAGGTTTTGTAGTTTTAATATTTTCCTTTATATAGTATATTAATGTACTTTAGCGTAATTATAATAAAGAAATCATTCTGAACTGAGTCAGACATCATCATCTCTTCCCATCGGGTTTGCCTGCATTTACAACAATTGCTGATCGTGGTAATTCTGCTATATGGATGCAAAAGTGGGCACTTCAGACAGGGATCATTTAAACTTTGGATGTCTGACTCCTAAGAACACAAAAGAGCATGCTCAAACTCTGATGTTTATAAATAGTACGAAGCATGGGGTATTTATTGCAACTACAAATTTTCTGACTGAAAAATCAGAGGGGTGGAAGGAAGATTACTCGAGACAAAACCTAAAACAATGGTGTCACAGGTTGACAAATGGTTGGGAGTGTTGCTGTTGGCACTCACTAAGAAATGTGGCAGAAAGCAAAAATGAAGAAATGTTTTGTAAGTAGGAGAAAAGAAGAAGGGAAATAGTTTATCCAACAAACCAGCTTATCCAAAATTGATAAATTGATAACAGTCTGGCATCCCTAATATTGAACATGACACAAACATGAAGTGGATTTGCAAGAATTTCAGCGTTCAGAAGATATTGAGTATCAAAAGGAGATGGTGAATTTATATTTATGGATATACACACATACTTTTACATATATAAGTAAAAATAAACTTTACCTTTCTAAAAACTTATTATAAATTAACACACTCACCAATCACAGAACCCAGTAAAACTTCGCTTTATAGCAGTTTAGTCTACACGTACTGGAGTTATGAGCAAAAATAACTTGAAGAAACAAGTTTTTATAAGAGAACCTTTATTTAACAATGGACTGTCTCAGTCAATGAGGTTGATAGGCGCAATGAATTTCAGTACTAATGGAGCCAAGTACTTGGTGTGTTCATGACTTTACTTCAGTTTCTTCTACTTGAGGTAGTGTATCCCAAACAGGTTTCTGAATGTGTTCTGGTATTTTCTCTATCTTAGTCTAAAAGGAAAGAAAAACAACCACTTACTGTACCAGCCAGCTAACATCTAACTACTTTGCTTTATTTATTCTGGGTTGAGACATGAATTAGATTTAAAGTGCCACCTAGTGGCACTGCCAAGCAATACAGCCTCTTTACCATGCAGTATTTTGGAAAATCTCCTTATCAAACTGCACCCATTTTCTCTGCTGACTTTCTAAAGACTTCAGTAGTTACTGGTACTTCAACCAGGACTCATAACAGTTAATAACGTGGGGTGGAAACTGACCTTTTTCACTTCCATGGCAACCCCTTCAGGTAAGTTTCGTTGCACGTACTCCAAGTAAACTGCAGCAGTACTGCTTGTTAGGTATTTTAGCTAAAACAGAAAGAATTTTTTAAAATTAACTACTATTAATAATACTTCAAACAGAATTTAAAAAAAACTGCCCTGGCTTCTTTGGCCCTTGCTATGGGGGACCAAACATCTTACAGGAAGCCAGCTTCCATAATATTCTGAACAGAAGCAGTTCATCTGTACTCAACTCTCATGTTAGTGTAAAGTAGTTACTTCATTCCACAGAACTGCACATGCTGCCTGGGAGCACATGCATTGACTATGATGGAAGTGGTGGATCGTAACACTGCAGGTATCAGACAAAATTAATTACAGATGATACAAGAATCACCAGCTTTTCTATACTCCCAAGGTTCAAGCCTGTTAGAAATCCTGCAACTACAGAGTTCCACTGAAATGCTGATTTATTTTTTTTTTTTTAGTTTCTCATGGTTTCACTGATTTACTGATCCTTTAGGTTTTCCTGGAAGGCAAAAATAGGGCTTATGGTCTGTGGGCAGCCACTTGTACTGCCCTCATGTCAGGGGACTTAAATGTCCTATTTTGCTAAGCACTGTACAAATATACAGTAAGACACCCGGGAGCCACAAAATGCTGTCAGTAAAACTTTCTTCTAAGAAAGTCAACCACAGCTGCATTCTAAACCATACAGATGCCTGTGTCATCAGCCACAGAGCTGGTGGTTTGTCTATGCTTCCTTTCTTCTCCTTCCTACATGCAGTTTTAGTTTGCCACATGATGCTGCACAGAACAAAAATATGTCTGCTCAAAAACATCAGACCAATTCATAGAGAAGAGAACCCTTAGTGACTGTCAATGACAATGATTTAGCAGCATCTTCTTCCCTTCCTGAGAAAACGCTCATCCTGATGATTTTTGGAAACCAAGAGCATAACACACATCAATTCTACCTTACTTTCTTTAGCCATTTTTTCAGCTGTTAAGATGATGGTAAAAATAAAAAACTTTCTGGTCCAAAAATTATGTAGGCTGAGCATTCAGAATAACTCGTGTTACATTTTATGTAACTAGGTCAGCTGTTTTCCAATATTCTCCTGCATTCTCCTCTCCAAAACATTTTCATTTGTGCATTCACATATAGTAATATCTTTGAACTGTGCACCTAGAACAATTTTGTTTCCTTCTTTCTTACCTCTAAACACATGTAATGTGTTCTCATTTCATACTGAACTCTGTGCTTCTTGTAAATGTGTACAGATTTGAGAAGTGTAAATCGTTCTATCGTCTTTGGGGGTTTATCTCTGAGCAAAGAAGAAAAAGAAATTTTCATGTTATATAAAGGATGATAATACAAGTTTATCTGAAAGACTATGCTGAACTCTCTGTTCTTATTTGACATTTAGAAGATCTACAAGGAAATATCAAACCCTGGTACAGTTTGTTATTAACTCACACAGGCATGGTTAACACTCAGGTATTAACCAGCACTGGGTCAGGGAAGCTACAGCACTGACAGCTGTGCAGAAAGTACTGTCAGTATCCTTCATGTAGATAAAAAGCACTTCCACTATGGCAGCGCTGAGTGCAGAACTGCTGCTGCTTTCTCATCACTGTCCTGCCATCAAAGAACTGTTAGGTCTGTAATCTGAGAAAAAAATGTCAGCTCATAGCCATTTCTTATAAAAAGAAAAAAAAAAACCCTTCTACATAGAGGACCTGAATTACAGTAGATAACAGAAGAAGCATCTCACTCCATATCACTCCACAGATTAATTACTTACACTTTTTCAACAGAGATACCAAGTTCTTTAGCTGCAAGCACTGCAAAATATTCATAGCTGTCCAGCACAGCTTTATCGTGGCCTTTAACTAAAATGGACAATCTCTTGTACAGTGTTTCTGGCTCATCTGAAAGAGATACCTGCATTTTTGAAGAAAAGACAAGAGTTACCACACCATGTTCTCCTTTATTAATGCATGCACTGTGTATTTCCCTAGCCTGCATGCCCCATTTGTAAAAAGAGCAAAACACCCCACAATCTGTTGAGCTGCTTATTTTAGTTTATCTAACAGAGTCTGCCCGTATTACCTTGACTAACAGGTCTCACTCTACCAGGGAAAGCAAAGTGTGAAGAGATAGGTAACTTCTGAACATTAGGTAAAATTTCTTCATGCAAAAAAAGGAATGCCAGAGAAAGGAGGACAACAATAGCAACAGCAAGAACAAAACTCATTGTTGAAGCAAGCCTGGAGCACTATTGGTATTTTATAGAGCAGTGTGCAAATACCTGAGAGTTTGCTTGGGTATGGAAATTAAATGGACCATTATGGACAGCAACCAGAATTCTCACTTTACTAAGCCCTAAGACTACTTTAAACACAATAGTCTTCCCCAGGTGTATTATCCTTCATGTTTGTACAAGTGCAAGTTTACAACTTTCAGTTAGAGCTTCAATTTCTCATGGTCTGGGCTCGCTGATCAACTGGAAGAGCCTTAATGAGTGCAGAACTGCTGATTTTCCCTGAAATTCACTCCTAGGCAGTTTAGCACACTAAATCCAGCATGTACCAGCCACAGCAGGAAGGCTGGATCAGCACCGTAGATCTAATACTGCCTGTCAGATGTTTCTGAAGCTCTTGTCAAAAGGCTGCTAAGCTGCCACAGGTATTCAACTGAATATGGCCAAAAAGTTGGTATGTCATAGAGTTACAGCTGCACAGAAAAGGGGGAAAGTTACTAAGAGGCAACGGTGAGCTACAGAAATCTTGTTGGGGGAAAAATAAAACCACATCAAATTATTTCTTTCTCTAAGAAAAATTTGACATCACTAAGGCAGACCTTCAAAAACCTGCAAGAAAAGAATTCAATTTTTTCTGGATGACCTCTTTATTACTAAGACAATATACAAAATACTGTGTTACAGAACACTCACCAAAGGATTAGTCTTAGACTCCTGTGTATCACCATGGGATCCAGCCAGTCGTGCTCCCATCAAGTTGGAGCTCCTAGAAATACAGTCATGGGGAAAGCACAAAATAAGTTGTTAAAGTTGGATTTTATTTTTTCAGGGACTTTGGAGGAGGAGGGGCTGTTACACTTACGGAAGAAAATACTGCTTTTGCATAATTCTGCTTGCATAACTGACAGGAAAAGCTGATCCCTGTATAAAACAGATAAGTTATGATATGATGATTTTCCCCAAATCAGAAAGCAGCCAGTTAATACAGGTTTATTAAAGATTACTTTTTCGCATACCAAAGCACAGCACATTCCTAGTCACTGATTTGACAAACTAGGAAGTTTGTGCCATTGGAAAACACAGGAAAACAGGAGCGTGGAAATGTATTTCAGTATACAATAGCACCTAAAAAAAGACACATGTTAAGGGCACAGTAACAGTATGCACTTACTACTGAGGCATCTGAGTAGCAATTATAAAGCGTATTTATAACGGAAAAAACTATTTTTGTGGCACCCGATGCCATTTCTGTACACAGTAATATTTTCTCTTTAGTTTTACTTTCATGGTACAATATATATACCTTTTGTCAAGTGACAAACCTAGGTAGGACTTAAAAAAGCAGCTGAAAACAGTATCCTATAAATGCAAAAATTCAGACTGTGAATTTAACTGGTAATTGACTGGTTTTTCAGAAAAAAAGTTCCTTGCGATTTTGAACACTTGTTCTTTTGAAGAGAACATTTAAATAGAAATACTTCTTACAAGCAAATGAACCACGTTTAAAAGACAACATGATTTTGTGCTTTAGAAAAGGAATCTAGTTGTTAATCATGTGACATTACTATCTTTCATACTACAATAATTGTTCCCTTCTGAACACTATGTGGCTTCTAGCTTCCTTCCACTAATTCTTAATTTGGCAAAGTTATAGACTACTTGGGGGGGCGGGGGAAAGGAACTCTCACTTAACAGAACCTCAGCGCTGCAGCAGAATGCTGAAGCCAAATTAGTTACTTATCTTGACCCTTGATACTCTTTTTCAACATGTGCTGGAGTAATAGCTTTAGGAGAGAAGTCAGATATCCCACCCAAGAGTTATACAGGTGACTGTCTAATCAAATCATCAGAAAACAGTCAGGCTTTACACTTTTCCAGGTAATCTTACTGCAGTTGCCTGTGGATCTGCATAACTCACTCTATGATGCTACTAGGTCCCTAACCTTTTCCAGTATGCATCATACATTCATTATACATCAGCAGTGAGCAAAACTGTTTTCTGTAGTAATTTTGCCTCAGTTGCAATTTATCCACAAATGCTGCTTCCCATAAAGATGTCTGCAGGAAGAGGCAGGGGAGATTTCTGTTTACAAAGCTGACTACGGTACAAATGCCTCCCCTTAAGCAGTCCTTTCAAATCCAGATCTTCACAGAGGCACTACTGTTACATTCCTGAAGAGCATAACAAAATAGGCAATTTTAGGAGCACTGAATATTTGTCACTGTAGTAGATAATCATTCAGAAAGTTTCAAAGTTTATGCTGAGCCTTAATATGTACAAGTAGTGAAATAGAGCTAGTAATTATCTAATGACAGCTAATAAAACAGAGGGACAAGAGCACATAATGACAGGACAAGAGGGAATGGCTTCAAACTGAAAGAGGGTAGGGGTAGATTAGATATCAGAAAACAATTTTTGACTGTGAGAGTAGTGAGACAGTGGAACAGACTGCCCAGAGAAGCTGAGGATGCTCCATCCCTGGGAGTGTCCAAGGCCAGGCTGGACGAGGCTCTGAGCAACCTGATCTAGCAGAAGGTGTCCCTGCACATGGCAAGGGGTTGGAAAGAGATGGTCATTAAGGTTCCTCCCAGTCAAGGCCTATGATTCTATGCCAAAATTATGTTGACATTTGCACTCAAGTCTCTCTTCCTGAAGTCAGAATGCTGCCTTCCTTCCATTCAATGCCAATATAAAGTACAGTACCAATCAGCTGACACCACTTCAGGAAGCAGACAGGCCCATGAGCATAAAAGACTATTCAGTGCAGGGCCTAAGCTGTTTGTGCAAGTACATGACACAGAATCTGACCCCAGATGACAAATATAAGGCTATTAACTGTAGTCATAACTGATTTTTTTATCTGGTTTGTGTTTTTTAGTGCATGTATGTATGCAGTCTATTCTATGTATTCTTTTACTTACAACTGCTTGATGTGGTAATAAGGATTTATTATTTGCATGCAAAGAGAGATGCACTCACGGTATATTGTGCCATGTGGTTTTAGATACAAAAATTTCAGTCTTAATGCAATAAAAATGAAGAAAACAAAACCTGATGAAGCAGTAGAGTCCTATCCCACACACTGAGGCCTGCAGCCTTTCCAGTGTTCGATGATTGTACATGTTATTCCTACCACATGCCATCTCCCTTTGTTACTAATTAAGCAGATCTGCATTAATTCAAATGTTTTCCTAACATTAAATTAAAGGTGCTCTATGCAAATTTTGACAAAATGATACACTGAAAACCTCAAGTGGTAGATATGACATTCAGTGGGCAGGAATTGGTAAACAGCTTCACAGTCTGATTTAATGATGTGCTCTTGCTAATGACCATCATAGAAGGTGGAAATGACACTCAAAGACTACAATGTAACAGAACCAAGACATTGCACAAAACATAATTACCCCTCTCCTAGTGCAAAATAGCCTTAATTCTGTTTGGTTGAGAGCCTCTGAAGTGTCAGGGGGAGACAGACGCCTGAGTCAGAAGAGAGTTCAGGGCTTCAGAAAATCCAGTTTTCTCAATTTCAGAGAAAGCAACCACCGTTTTTAAATCCAAACCAGCAAACATCATCAGAGCAATACTGTTATTTTACGTGGTAACTTCCAAGCTTTGAAACGTTTAAGACTAAAACTCGCCTAGCACACGGCCTCCAAATCCAAGTCACCTACTCTTCACTGTCCCTTCCAGCCGGACTAACTGCGGGAAAACCACAGAGCTACAGCGCAGAGCTCGCCAGCGTGCAGTACAGTCCCACGCTGTACTGCCCCAGCCCTCCCGGAGCCCGAAGCATTTGCCACGTCCTCTTTTCCCACTCCCCTCAGGCATGAAGACACCGAGGACAAGGACGAGGAGGAGGAGGAGGACGGCGCTCCCGCGTCCCTCTCCCGCCACACACCGCACCTGACAGAGCCGCCGCCACAGCCACCCCGCCGCCATCTTGGCTCCGCCCCGGCCCGCCCTTCACGGCCCGGAAGGAGAGGGGCGGCCGCGTCCCGCTCCTCCTGCCCCCGCCGGGGCTGCGGGCAGCGCTCGGGGCTGCGCGGCCGGGCCGGGAGCTCGCACGGCGCCCTGCGAGCCCCCAGCCCGGTTCCCCAGCCCGGTTCCCCAGCCCGGTTCCCCCGAGCGCTGCCTCAGGGCAGCCCCGGCGGAGCCGCGGCTCCCCCTCAGCCGCTTCCCGCCACCGACGGCCGCCAGTCCCCGCACTGCCGCTCTCCGTCCTGTTCTCTAGGAATCCTTTGAAAAACCCCAAACTAAACCAATTACACGAAGCCTAGTTTTCAACCTTCTCCCCGCTCTTAAAAATATTTTTAAAAGGCATACAAGCCCGTTAGAGCAAAACCCATTCGACTGTATTTTACTGATATATAAAAATAACTGGAAATGGCACATAAAACCCTTTCTTTTCACACAGACAAATATCGGTTAATAATACAACACAGCATCTGACCGGTACCAAATCTTCAAAGCGAGTGGAAAAATAAATAAGTACTAATTTATGCCACGAAACCATCCTTAAATACACACAACCAGGTAGGCAGTGTACAGTGAGATTAACCTGAAATTAAGCTGTGTGCTAGCAACGGGAACCTGAAACCAGCATAGATCACAAGCTCTATCAAATGAATACATATTTTTTATTTTGTTACTTCCTCTGCCACCTAAAATTACAGTCTGCTTTTTACACTAAAATGCCTAAAATATTTACACAACCATCTTCTAATAAAATAACAGTTAAATATTGAAAATAAGATTTTTCTCATAAAATATGTTTTCTGTATGTACACATTTTATCAAAGAGGACTAGCTCCAATGTTGAATAGTTTTCCATCATCAACCATCAGCAAGAAAAAGTGTTTTCTGAAACAAAACTATGTTCAACTCATGTACAAATAGGCAGAACAACACATTTAACATCAGCCAATGCAAGACTTAATGACGCGGTCAATGTTTGAGGCCTAAATCATGTACTGCTTAGGAAATGTACATTTCTTTTTCTTTTTTTTTTCCTTTATGAATAACTTCTTTGGTTATCGTTGTTCTATTATATTCTTGGTTGTACAATAAAACAGCACCCAATTAATGTTACTTAACCAGCCATATGTATGTGTATATATATATATTTATAGATACTAAATTTAGCACAGGTCCTGTGCAACTGTTACTAAAAAAGTGTCACTGTAGATTCTTTAATATAGAGCTGCTCTTCAGAATCAAGCCCCTAAATTTCTACTGTTCCGTTCTTTAAGCAGAACTCTGATTTCAATCATATTTTTCTTAAACAGTTTTTAACCACCAGGAACCTGAAAACCTGTCTATTTTCCAGTGTAGAGCCTTTCTCACAAAGATCCTTAAAAGTTCAAAATGACACAAGCTTGGGAGAGGAAGAGTAGACTCTGCTGGGCTGTTTCCAACAGAGACCCCTGAAAGCCAACACGTTTTAGTGCTCACAGAAGTGTCCACTTTGCAAACCACGAAGACTTGAAGTATCTGTGAGTTTTTTTGTCAGTGGGTCTTGCTGGTGGTACACAGCTGAGCACCCAGTCTGCTGGCCCTGGGTGCACATGACCCCTGTGAAAGTAAAATGTCACAGCATAGACAGGAACTGCTGGGGAATGTGCCAAATGGCAGGCTGGGAAAGAAAAGGCTGCTGCTGCCTGATCTCCTGAAGCTCAAAGGTACAATGACTGAGAACATCACCTCTTATGTAACAGGAGTGAAATTCCACCCACTGGTCAAGCCCTACTGCAATAACCTCTGGAAAACCCCCCAGAACACTAAAACAACCATGTACACAGGAACTTCACAAACCAGAAACTGAGAAGTTATTTCCAATCTCCTGAAGGGTTGTTCTTTAGCATCACAACATTCGACCTTAAGTAGAAACTCGAGGTCATTTGGCTTCACATATTTGGCTTTGACAGAGAAGGCACCTCTCTCTGTCAGTGGGTCCCACTGGTTCTCAACTTGTGTGGTCAGGTAACTCCTATAAAAGTGCTGTGATTTACCCTCCTTTTGCATAGTTAAACAAGGACAACAAGTAGAAAATAGAGAAAAAAGACCCACCATCACTCAGATTCTGGTGAAGACATTAGGAATACAGCAAAAAGAACCAAATAAAATAAAACAAAACCCAACCCATTTAAAAAAACCCCAAACAAACCTGAAGCCTGGAAGATCTGAAATAAGTCTTATAAAGTATTTTATAAAGTTAACAATACTCCTCTACTGTGCAAAATTCACAAGAAAATCAGTGCTGCTGCCTATGGGAGCTCTGCAATCAGCATTCACATTCTGTAATTAAAGGTCCACTCAACCTAACTCCATTTCTTGTTTTATTCTGCAACGTACAATTCTTTCATATGCTGTTTAATCAGAGAACCAAATCTAAATTTATATAAACTGTGTCAGGTGTCCAGAATGTAGATCTGAACCTAAGGGAGGAGAAATGGTCATTAAACGGCAACATCAACTCACCTCTGCAGCATGTTTATAGGAAATAAACAACAGCTGAATTTGATGTAATGAAGAAGACTGAAAATGGCACAAGAATAACACATTATACCCACATGCTGAAAGCATATCAGTCTCTTTTCCAATGGCAAGAATGCTTCCCTGTGTTTGCCTGGTGAGAGAGAGCAAGCATTGCTCAAACACACACTCCCCTAAAACCACAGAGATGGCTATTCCACAGTGTGATTTATTGTCACGGGACAATATTTCCAGTGCAATCTGATTACCAAGGCAGCTTTCCTGATTCGGTATTCCCATCAGAGGATGTGGAACATAGAACAATCATTTTCCTTCTTCAATCCTTGAAATTAGGTCATTTTAAAATCAGCAGATCAAAACCTTGCTTAAATGGAATGTCTAAAACGTCCTGTGTAACCAAGACAGAACTGAAAATGAACTGCAATATTACTAACTCTTTCACAGTTAAACCAGATCTTTTTTTTCTTCCATCTTGCTTAAAATGGCAACACAAAGACAAATAATGTAATCGTATCTTTCAGAGAGATGACATTTACTCTCTAGAAGATGTTGGAAATGATCCAATATAGACAAAAAAAATGTTTCATCAGAAGTGTGTGAAATTTATTCTTTTAATTGGGGTAAAATGAAAATTGGAAGAGTTAAAGACTAAAGATTCTACCAGGACCATCTGGTAGGAACTGATAGCAGAACCATGAACTTCTGTAATTAGTGGTCTCGGAAGTTATCAGCAAAAAGAGCTCAGATAAAAACACCTTATAAGAATATTTGTACCAATTATTTATTTCTTCCCCCAAAACACAAATTAATAAAAAAAAAGGGAAAAAAGCAGATTTTTTTTTTTTTCTAGACCTGGATAAAAGAATTATAATTTTCAACAGGTAGTTTACAATCAGTGAGAATAAACAAGCAGTCCGGGTTTCCTGATTGATCCATTCAGGGTGTGCTCAGTAGCTGTCTATCAAACAACTTTATTTACAACTCAGCATCATCCTGCAGTAGATCTGGATCTTCATCATCCAGTAAGAGGTCAGCATCCATGACTTCATTCTCTTCCATGACATCACCCAGATCTGGAACAACATCATCATCGATGTCACCAACATTTTCAACGTGTTTAACCAAGCTCATGTGATCCAGGGGGATCAAACTATGCCCAGCTGGCCCAGTAGTTCTTGCAATAGTGGCTGCCATTTCTGCTGCCACAGCAGCTTTCTGAGCCTTCTGCCTTTGCTGTTCTTCTTGTTGTCTGTGAGTCTTCATATGAGCATTGCGGCTTTTGATTTTGAAAAAGACCCTAAATTTTAAAGGGAAAAAAAAATCAGATTAAAATGCACTGCTTTTGATTAAATGAGCCAAAAAAGACTCAACAACTTATCAGTACATTTGCTTCCTTGTCCTGAAATAGAAGTCCGTGAAGTCTGCAATGCTATGGTGTGAATTTCAGGGACATATTACCAGATTTATACATTCTGATGGTATCAAAATGGCCTACTCTGATTTTGCCAGAGGTAGTTTGTAGCTCCCACACCTGCTTCAGTATCTATGCACATCCTATTTTCCCTCTATCAGTTTCACAACCATCTTGCACAACTGGGAGAAAGTGAACGATTACCAAGATGGACAAACTCAAGCACAGAAACACAGAAAAATTTGCCCAGTCATATCCAAGTTGGTGATGAAGCAGGAAGCTGGAATGTCAGATGGAGAAATTCTAGCAGTTAAGTGAAAAAAGGAGTAAATACTGCAGGGGGCATCCAAAATATCATGCAAACCTATCTCTGACAGCTTTGGTAAGAGAACATATCATCTAGGTGGAAACTACTTCCAAGACAATGAGAGCAAAATACAAAGTTTGCTCACAGCACTGCTGATCTGGAATCTAAACAGGCAAAGGCAATGCTGTACTGCAGACAGTCACACTTACTTGCCACACTCCTTGCAAGGAAAAATCGTCATTGGGTCGGTCTCGCCGCTTGTTGTGCTGTGGGCAGGTGAGCTCTTGATGGAGCAATATCCGCTCTGCGTACCAGATTTCTGCTTCGTGCCGGGAATGGTGCACCGTGGTTTTGTCACCTGGTTTGTACCTCCGTGAATGCGAGCGTGGCCATTCAGCGCTTGTCGGGAACTGAACACCTGGCAGGGAGCGGGGTGGAGGGAAGAGGAAAAAAAAACCCCAAGAAATCACAAGGAAACACTGGAACTGCAGAAAGTAGGATGCTAAATGCATATCACAACAGAACAAGTGTACATGTCTAATATGCACCATCTAGT